TAGGCCTTGGGGTTTACACACAACTCCACTGGAAAAGAGTAAGGGAACCGACTGCAAGTGGTTATTCCCTGTTCCCTCAGAGGGGAACAGAGTTACCACCTTGAGATACCAGCACAACAGGACAAAGAACACAGTATTGTGAACCTTGAGTTCCCAGAAGCGAAAGTTCAAAATGCAGGTCTAGAGCTACGCCATAGCCCAAAGAGCCACTGGCCGCAGCTAACAGATCACTGAGTCCAAGTAACCACCTGGAACTCCAAACTCAACTCTTCAAAGGCAGGTCTGGTCCAGCTGCAGAGCCCCACCCACCTGACCTCCACCCACAAGGTTAACCTCTTAGTCTCTGATCTGTGGTTCCAGTCTGATCTCCACAGCTGGTGGCAGGCTCTGTGCATGTACTGTGCACAAGGGCAGCTAGCTACACTGTCTCAGAGCCTCTTAATGCCCACACAAGGATCAAGGGGAGAAGAAATAGTCTACCTGGGAACAAGCAAAGACATATCACCCAAGAATTCTTTGGGATAACAGAATCACCATGTGGCTGGACAAACCTTGGGCATCCCTTCCCCTTCTCACATGCCTGTCACTAGGCTGGCACAGGAAACGTCCTCAGCTACGTTACACTAGCTCCTGTTCAGCAGTCAGCTCTTCTGCACTCTGCTGTCAGGCAGACGTGCCCTAACAAGCACTAGGCACACACAGCTAGCGGGCCTGTTTTCAGTGCTGCTGCTGTAGCAGTTAATGTCAGCCCAAAAAACCAAACAGCCTCGCTTGCTTTTCTGAAGAGCAGGAGTCATTTCCAGAAGGCAAAGCAGTATCTTCACAGCAGAGGAGGGGCAAGGGTCACTCAAGAGCATACAGTTCCTCAGGACCAGACAGCAATGTCTCATTCTGACATTCATGGTTCATGTCCTGTATCTAGGACAGCCACAACAAGAAGTCATCACCAAGAGCAAAGCCATTCGGCCCTTAGCACAGTACTGTACCATCCAGCCTTTCTCCTCACAGGCACGGATACATGTTCATAGAAGCCTGAGGAGTCTATCTGACATGAGCTCGGGTGGTACATGTACAGGTGCACAAAACAGACAAAAGATGAACAGATCCTCCCGAAGGCCCTCACCTCTGAGATCTAAGCAGTCACAACCCAGCACAGGCAGCTCTACAAGACCTACAAGACCTACAGTCAGAGTTACAGCTTCCAGCAGATACAGGATGTGCTGATGGTACCCAGCACACTACATGTTTTAATCTGTTAAACAGAATGAGAACACCATGCATTCTATCTGACATCTGCTGGAGACACTGGCCCTGAAAGCACAGCATGCGCAAGCCAGCAGACTTCATAACAGTTAAATGGGGTATACTTGCTGCACCAATCCTTCAGCCACACAGGGGCAGCGAAGCACCTGGCACCCTGGTCTGTTGAGAGGAAGATGTAGACAGTGGGGTATTGAGGAGAAGAAGGTACCGGGGTTGATACTATGATGTGAATGGGTCCCCCAAATTCATAGGTTTGAACATAAATCTCCAATGTGACAGTGTTAGGAGATGGAGCTTGAAGGAAGGGATTAAGTCGCAAAGGCAGAGCTCCTGTAACTGGGATTAGAGACCTTATAAAGGCTGCAGGGAACTAGCTATACCCTTCTGTCCTTCTGTCCCACATAAAGGCAGTGTTCAAGGACCATCTCGGAAGCAGAAACCTGGCACCAGGCACATCATTGGCTAGTGCCTTGATCTTGGGCTTCCCAGTCTGCAGAACTGTGAACCGTGAACTTCTGTTAATTACTAATGACCTCTGCGCATGTGTTTTGTTACAGCAGTACAAACAGACCAGATGGCTTGTGGATAGTGAGGTTGGCATACAGGCTTCATATAAGGAAGCCCCTGCCGACACCAGTCTCTGTCTGGAGCTGAGTCCAAGGTCCTAGTCAATCCCCTCTAGCCATGAAGTAGGTGACACCGTTAGCTCCTCTCTACAGGAGGAAACAAGACTCAAAGCAACTAGGCAAGTACAGCAAAGCTGGGATGAATGGAGGCTGGGTCTTGATGAGGTCTTCAATTTCTGTTGACAGCACAAAATGCTGAGACCAAACATAAAACACAGGTCTGTAGCCTTCTAAATGGCAGCATCGTTGAAAGTCAGTTGACAGCAACCCAGTAAGTGAAAACTTCCCCCACAGCCCTACCAGGGTCCTGTCCCAATGGTACATGCCAAGCCTGGAAACTACCACTATCAGGTCCCCTCGTCACCTCACTGGCCAAGATGCTGTATGGCCTATACAGGCTTTTGACCCTCCATCTTCAGGCCTCTGGAACTGACCTGGCTCTTCCACAGGCTCCTCCTGTTCTCACACCACCCTTCCTCTCTGCATCAACAGTGTCCGAATCTTTAGTCACTGTTCATGGCATGCCTGCTGCCCCCCAAGTCTCCAGGCTAGCTACACAGGCCTCCACCAAGACCTTTCCAGCTTTCTCTGTGAAAATTTCAGAATTGCCTCATAAGTAAACCGGAACCCCACTCTCCCCAGCTGGCTGACCATGCCTGAAAGCCGCAGCACTGGCTGGCAGCTGGATGGGTGGTTCTGAGCACCTCTACCCAAGGAACAGAGCGCCACAAACCCGCTGCAGTGCTGTCAGGCAGGCCCCAGCTCCATCAGAGTTGGACAGCACAAATGACGGACCGCATAAATGAAAACCATGTACCACCTGACACTGCTTGCAGACCCCTACTGCAGTCCTCCGCCAAATGTCAGGGACACTACAGAACCAGGGCCAAGGTCTTCAAAAGCGTCTCCTCAAGGCCTGCCACAGCGGGAGACCAAGTCAGGGCAACACATGGCACTGGTCAGGCTCCATGCCTTGGTACCTAGCAGCAACCTCCAGGCACCTCCCTGTCAGGAACAAGCTGGGATCCCATCCTGAAGGAGACTTCCTGTGGGCAGCACCTAGTACTCAAGAGTTCCCAAGCAACAGTCACTGAGCCAGGAAACTTCTTACTCTCTGCTTGCAATGCTGGAAATCTCTTTTTTTCTTGTTTCTCTTTTAATTTTTAAAATTCATTTATTTTTATCTTTTATGTGTATGAATGCTTTCCTTGCATGTATGTCATGCCCCCATGTCATGCAAAACCCACAGAGGCCAGGGGCTGAAGAGATAGCTCAGAAATTGCTCTTCAGAAGACCTGGGTTTGAGTCCCAGTACCCACATGGCAACTAATAACCATCCATAATTCCACTTAAAAGGGAACCTGACGCCCTCTTCTAACCTCCATAGGCACTGCACAACACAGGTGAACTTACATACATGCAGGCACATACACACTCATACACATAAAATAAAAATAATAAATTTTAAAATATATATATGTATGTGTGTGTCCTTTTATTGAGACAGAGTCTCCCTGTAGCCCCAGCTGGCCTGGAACTCACTATATAAAGCAGTCTGGCCTTGAACGCACAGAGATCCACCTGCTTCTGCCTCCGAAATGCTGGGATTAAAGGCATGTGCAACCGCCCCTGCTAAAATATTATTTTAACCCACAAGAGGCCAGAAGATGGTGTCAGATCCCTTGGAACTGGAGTTACAGATGGTTGTTAGCCATCATGTGGGTGCTGGGAACCAAACCTGGGTCCTCTGCAAGAGCATCCAGTGCTCTTGACCGCTAAGCCACCTCTCCAAGCCCTGGAAATCTTTTTTTTCAAAATAAGATTCAGACTGCTGGAGAGCACAGAAGCAATCGTTAGATTCTTTTTTCCTTACCTATGCTGGGAGTCACTTGGCCAGGGCCACCCGGTACACCCACCTTAGTAAAGAGCAAATGAAAAGTTCTCAACGTAGGCAAAGCACAAGTCCTTCTGAGCGAAGTGCCCCTGATGTGACTGTGAAGTAACATTAGCTAGGTGGGGCTCACCTGCAGAACAACTTAGGGAAAACTCATACATATTTCATTTTCCTTAGCCATAAAAATTGGGCAGGAGGCCAGTGAGATGGCTCACCAGTTCAAGGTTCGTGCTGCCAAGTCTGAAGACCTGAGTTCAAATCTCTGGAACCTACACAGTAGAAGGAGAGAACTGACTCCCACAGGTTCTCTGGTACACATGCACACATATGCACACACACAAATTCACATTTAAAAGCACCGCAAAGGATTTTGTGTATGCAGTTACTCTGCTTGTCCCTTAAGGACAGGAGCACTCTGCTCACTTACAGTTAACAGGTCCTGGCACTTGTCTCACTGTTAACAGACTCTTCAGAATTTGCTGATGCAGAGGCTTGAGAAGGGGAAAATCTGCTCCCAGGATGCTGGGAGCAGACCAGTAAGACAGCTGTTGCTGGAATGCAGGGACAGGTTGTCTGCCCCTTGCCCCCATTTATGTTTCTACATATAATCAAAGGAAGCTGTTACTGGGTCAGTGGCCATGGCCTTGTTCTGTGCTGCTTTCTCCTATTGTGATGGGAAATTCCTGTGTTCCGCACTGCTTGAGCACTTATGTGCAAACTCTTGTGTGAGCTTCCAATAAAGACCCTCAGGAAGGCAGTGAAAGTGCTCCTGAGTGGCACAAGCTGAGGGTCCCCTGGTCTAATTTCAGTTTCAGGAACAACACTAGAACGGGCATCTCCAGGTACAGATTAAAAGGGCTAAGCTGGGAGTGCCGATGCAGGCAGACCTCAGCACGCTGTACGCGCTCTACGATGTGTGAGCCAACGCTTTGCTGAAAATGGCAATATTCACTTTTTCTAGGAATACACTTGCACGCAGGCACAAGCCATTCATCCTTTCAGAAGTGCATGTAGCTCCATTATGCACCACATATAGGCATAAGCCATATTCTAGCAAGTTTAAAAGGAAAAAAAATTATAGAAACCAAGTCATGACTTTATTAATTTTCTCTGCTACAAAATAAAGGTGAATGCATCTAAAGTTACTTAAAGGATCAAAAAGAAATTTGGTTCTGAGACTTGTAGGGCAGGTGCCCATGGGGGAGTGAAGCACTTACCAATCCAGCATTCCAAGCGTGCACAGGGCGTGGTCTTCACCACATCAGGAGGATCCACACCCACGTTCAGGCACAGGACCAAGGCCACACTAACTGTCTTCATCTGGAAGCACAGCAGAAACAAGGCACTTCAATACGGACTGCAGGGAGTGTTTCCAGTCCAAGCTGTCCCCAGAATACTTGGCTCCTCCCTGCCCCTACACCCCACCTTCCCCTACCCCTCCCTGTGTCCCCAGGTTAGGACATTCCTGAGGACAGGGTTGGAGTAAGGTGGGCAGAGGGGAGCAGCTCTTCTCCTACGCTAATCTCCAGAATTATTTGACAAAAAGACGCGCATCTTAAAGCATTCCATATATTCTGCCAAATTCCTCTGCAAAGCTGCACAAAGTTACTGTCCCAATAGCTTATGACTTTTCTTGCTATGTGTGCTCATTTCGTGAGGAGGAGTCAGGGTGACTTAGATCTTGTTAGCAGGACTGAGCACTGTCTTCCAGGATGTGCTCACTGTCTACATTCGTCCCCATCAGCCACTCCTCATTCCTAGTTACTCTGTCATTTATTCCCTGGCACTGGTGACTGCTTTCCAACACTCACATACTCTCTACACACTAAAGATGGCATTCACATTATACTACTCCTATTCCCTGTCTCTCAGCTGGTATTTGTGATCTGAGCTTTTTGGCACAACAGCATACTGGACCCATGGCCTGGCATGCCTCCCTCCATACCTGTTCCTTATCGACTGCTCCCACAGTAAGCAGCCCAGCCCAGAAAATCTGGAAGGTACCCTTCACACGCGTATCCACAGGGCATGAGCACCTGTTCACAGGTGGTAGGAACACACTGGGAAATCTGGAGTAAAGATCCTGCAGCGAGGGCTGAAGAGATACACTGGCCACTCTTGCAGTGGACCTGGGTTTGGTTCCCAGCACCCACATGTAACAACTCTTCTTAACTCCAGTTCCAGGGGACTCGATCGCTTTCTTCTGGCCTCCTCAGGCACTGTATGACATGGGCCCACCAACATACATGCAGGTAAAACACTCATACACATGAAAATAAATAAACAAAAAATTGAGGGGAGGAGATCCTGCAGCGAGTCCTGTATGGTACACACTTGTGATCCCACCATCAGAGAGACTGAGGCAGGGAGACTGAGTTTCAGCCTGAGCTGCAGTGAGAGTCTGCCTTGAAAACAAAGCCCTGTAGGG